CAGGGTCACCTGGTCCAGCCCTAACTATATGCTTTAGCAAAAAGGAAATTTTAAGCCTAATCTTAAAAAATGTAAAAATCATTCTTCAAAAAATTTTTAATGAGAGAAATAGGCAGAGCTTTCCAGGCTCTACTCGACTACTCATCACCTTGACAATAATCGACTGGTAAGACTCGACTGTACACTGTGTTCGTGTTTTCCTCCCAAACAATAAGTTCAGTTGGAGCAGCCTTTCAACACCTCTCTGTGTCTCTCGCAAAGTTGATCCAGACAACAAAGTAAAGCTAGTTTTCAGCTACAAGCCCAGCACGAACCCGACGTATTAGCCAGAGGTCCCTTTACTACAGTTCGGCGCCGCGGACCTGTTTTATATACGCGCGGAATAGTTTTCTATACGAGATCGCTGCAAAAAGTGCAGCCTTACCTAATGTCCACCTACTGTTACTCATTTATATTAAGATTTAAACATGTAGTTGGTGTTGGTATGGAGAGTAACCTCCAGTAATAGTAATAAATCACACAGCAATAGGACATTCATGTACTATTCAAAAGACGTTACTCTCATTGAGTAACGTAACAGAATAAGTTACAAACTACATTTTGGGGCATGTAGTCTGTAGTGGAATACATTTTTAAAGTAACCTTCCCATCACTGCTGCTGACAGACAGCTCTAACCGTGTTTGTGTGTCAGTATGTTTGATGTAGGAGGACAGCGGGACGAACGCAGGAAGTGGATTCAGTGCTTCAACGGTGAGGAAAAAACAGATTCTTTATTGATCGAGCCTGAAAGCAGCAGGGAGTTTGATGTGTGTGTGCACTTGCGTCCAGATGTGACCGCTATCATCTTCGTGGCAGCGAGCAGCAGCTACAACATGGTGATCCGTGAGGACAACTCCACCAATCGGCTGCGAGAATCTCTGGACCTCTACAGATCTATCTGGACCAACAGGTTCTCTGACTGACTGAAGTTGCCAATTACTCTCTGATTGGCTGCCTTAAACACTTCCTACCAACTGAGTACATGTAGTTGACTGTCCTGTTCTCTGATTGGCCGTAGGTTCCTGAAGACTATTTCAGTGATCCTCTTCCTGAACAAACAGGATGTTCTTGCTGAGAAGATTCTGGCTGGAAAGTCGAAGCTGGAGGATTATTTCCCAGAATATAACAACTACCAGCTTCCTGCTGATGGTAAATATCCAAAGAGTGTGGAAAGTTAATGTCCTCCATTTGTCTCAAAGGTTTGCACTGAATTTCAAACTTGCTGCTCCTTCCTCCTAGAATAAGCTGCAGAATGTGCAGGAGACTTGAAGTTTGACTGAATTTAAGGCCATTTTAAATGAGTTGAATGCAGTTAATTCAGGATGCAAATGTTTTTCCTGAATATTATTAGCTTTGTTTCTGGCCTTGGACCATTGCTTCTGAAGGCTTATTGTGACTGAAGTCTGTACATTGTGTGATTTTTCTTTTTTTTTTTTCCCCCTCTTTGTGTGATTGACTGCTGTATGACTTGTGTGTGTGTGTGTGTGTGTGTGTGTGTGTATATATGTGTAGCTTACACCTGTAATGCTGTCATTCTTGGTTGGGACTTTTAATCTCGAGACTTTATTTTTTCCTGGTTGAATAAACACAAATGGAAATCTGTCCCACCAACACACGAGTGCGCCTTGGGCACGTGAACACACCTCTTGACCATGCACACTTGTTTCAGCTGTTCCAGACACTGATGAAGACCCCAAAGTGATGAGGGCCAAGTTCTTCATCAGAGATGAGTTTCTGGTAAAATCGCTTCCCGTCTTGACATCATGCTATCACACGATGGCGTGTTCAGACTAACATGCGACTCCTGTTTCAGAGGATCAGTATGGCGAGCGGTGACGACAAACATTCCTGCTACCCTCACTTCACCTGTGCTGTTGACACCGAGAACATCCGCCGTGTCTTCAACGACTGCCGTGACATCATCCAGCGGATGCACCTGCGGCAGTATGAACTGCTCTGATTGACTGCTGGGCGCCGCCTGGCCCCGGCCACTCTGAAGAAGCCGATAAGTAATCGAGGCAGATAGCCGATCAATGCTCATAGCGTTTGTGATATTTATTAGTGATTATTGATTAGGACAGAATCTTATTAGCTGTGTGTTCCATGTGCTTTATGTCCTGCAGGGCATTATGGTCAGAATTATTGGCATGGCAGCAATGTGTCATGTGGGAGGAGGTGGAGTCTGGAAATCTATTTTTACATGTTATTTGTGTTATCTTTGCTCTGATTGGCTGATCCATTTGAATGATTAAACACCTTTGTTTACCTGTGAACTTGGGGTCAAAGGTCAGTCTTTATTCAGAAGCTGTTCAAATGTTTTTATTTGTTATTCAGAGAGCTAAGTGTTTACCTGCAGGTTACCAGGTGTGTCCTGGCTCCGCTACGCCACGGTAACCTATAGACTCAAGATTCATGTTCACAACAGATGGAATATAACGTGACAGGAAGCGACTCAGTCTTCTAATCTGAAGACTGTCTTTCCAATTAATTTCCAAATTAAAATTCAGGGATTTTTCTACTACCCTTTAAAAAAAAAACAAAAAAAACCTCTTTACATTTTAAGAGCTTCACGTTGTTGATTTTGAACACTTTCTCAGAAACACAAGGTGTGACAATGTTTTCACCCTTTGAGAAGCACCAGCACACAGAGAAACTGGGGACGTGATACCAGATTGTTCAGCTTTCTGCTCCTGATCAACTATAACATATCTTTATGGTTTGATCCAAATGAAACGCACAAATAAAATTTTGATTTTTTTTTTGTTGCTGATCTTCAGATGACAGTGCATCTAAATAAAGGGCACAGAGACACAGAACTACTACTCTGTTATTAAAAGAGTTAGGAGAGAGTAATGTAGCTTACTGTCAACATGTAGATGAAAATGAGCCGATGGTAACTAACCTCAGGCTGGCAGTATTATACCTGCTGGCTTTAATGCCACAAACTAGCCAGGTGAACAGGTGCAGATGACTGCCGGCTTGAGGACGCTGATCACCAGAGCAGGTACGAAGCACTAAAGTGATCTCGTTTATCCTCAGTCTTTACTAAAAACATCCAAAAAGAATAAACTGTGAGAGGATGAGATAACTGAGCTCAGCTGCAGAATCATGTACGTGTGTCTGGATTCTGACTGCCACCAGGTGAGAGGCATGTGTACCGGAGTGTGTCACCTGCTCATCACCGGGCACACAGACACACCTGTGCTATCCCACAGGTTGGGCTGTGGGAGAACAGAGATATCTTTGAACCTTCTTCCTGTAACAGCACCACTTGAACTCAGGACAGGTACTTTATCAGCTGGTTTATACCTGCACAAGTAAGCACACAACACTGCCCCCTGATGGTGAAGCTTCTCTTAAATTCTCTGATTAAACATGCTCACATTAAACATTTCCTGTGGTCCGAGTCAGCTGATGGTTTTTTAAAGTTTCACATAGGATAAGGTCAGATCATGTGAACGCCATCAATGAACGCAGTGATGGGAAAACAAACGCGAGTCTGACTTAAATGGGCTAAACACCACAGGTGTGAAAACACCCTAAGACTGTGTAATTGGAGTATTCTCAGTAATCTGAGTAATCTTCATGTAAACAGTTGGTTTTTACACTGTGTTGTGGACTGAATATTTTTAAGTATTGGAGTACCTGTAACAGCTGTTACCATGGTTACTGCTCATCATGTACTAATGTTCAATCGACTTGAAACCATCCACTTCCTGTACAGATGTTTCTAACATGGTGGGCAGGTCAGAAGGGTCTGTGGCCACATTTTCTACAGGTGCACCAGATCTTCTGAACTAGTCAAAAATAAGTGGACAGACCGACATGATCTGTCACTGTTGTCCTCCAGAGAATGACTCATATGACCTGTATGTGATGCCAGTGATGTTTAAAAACAAAAGAAAATAAAGCTTTTATTCTGAAGAGTATTACCTTTTTATTTCACCTGTAAAGTCAGACAGGTACAGACAGGTGGGACATTCGGGCTCTGTGCCTCCTTCACCAACTCCAGTAACAGGTGAGCACATCTGTCAAGATTTCTTCTTCTCTGTTATTATTAACTGCAGGTGACCTCACGGTGTGTTCAAAGCTCTCTGTGTAAAAACTGCTTTTCTGGAATCACTCCTCTATCCGGCCACTGTTCTGGTCACAGAGATCCATGCGGTTCTCTGAGATCCTGACTGCGTGTCGCTCGGATGGTGCGTCTGCTGAATTTGGACTAGTTGCAGCTGGATAGTGTAGTGGTAAAACTACACACCTCTGGAGTGCAGGTCACAAATTCAGTTCCCACCCAGTATCCAGCAAGGGTTCTGGCTAGATCCCTCATTCTAAACACCAGCCCTGGAGTGACGCGGTTATGTCTGCAGCCTGTCCGCAGTTCAGAACACAAGCATTTCACCATATGTTCACTATATTTTGTACTGTGTATGTGACGAATAAAATCTGTATCTGTGTCTGATAAAAGGGTGGAAATAGAACGATAGTGGCGTTCACGAGAATGGGACATAAAAAAAATGTTTGACGTTTGCAGCCTGTCTGTGTTTTTCCAACACTGGCTTTCACCTCCAGTCTCTGATGTTAAAGGGCGCACTCCTGCGCGCCTGGTGGAGGCAGTGTTGCCAACTAAGCGAGTTTGTCGCTATATTTAGCGAGTTTTCAGACCCCCTTAGCGATTTTTTTTCTAAAAAGCGACTAGCGATAAAATGGCGGCTTTTTCTGGTATTATTTATGACGACTTTTTGACGTGAAAGTGCGTATCGCTCTTACTCTCAATAAGCAGCAGTGCTGCCGTGGGCACCTCGCCCGTTCCAAAGCGCTCACGGGCGGAGGATAGTCCTCCCCCAGCTGCTATCAGGGCAGAAGATGTTCACACCTATGCGTCCAAACTGCAAATGAATTGCGCATGAGCAAAGCCGCTGCTCCCGCACTGACTGTAACACAGTCAGTTCTTTTACTCTTATGCTGTTTTATGGATCACAAGGTTTAAAACTACTTATAAACACACACTCACACAAAGTAACTACACCAGGGTGCCAATTTCGGGTCACTGTTACTGGTCCAAGCCCAGATAAAGGGTCAGGGCTGGAATTGTGACATTAAAAAAACAATAATTGCTAAAAGAAATGTAATTTTTAGTTCTAAATAAATTCTAAATGCATTTACAACGTTTTTACTCACTTTATGTCTCTTC